ATGAATTGTATCCTGGCCTCTGCCTTCCCCTACCTGGGAGGCTCCCTCTGCTTGCACCCACCTGAATGATTAGTGCCCTTTCAGGAGCCCCCAGAGGCTAGAGCTGGTGAGAACAGGGCTGGGTGGGAATTAGACAGAGCCGCCACCGGTTCAGGAAAGTCCTTCCAGCCCAGGCTGCCCATGCATGGGGGCAACTCCACCCGAATCAACTTAAATAAACTTGGGTGTGGGGATACAACACCCTGAAGTCTGTGATGGCCCACATCCAGGCCCCTCTTGCTCCAGCCGCCGTCCTCGGAAGGCGCGTGAAGACAGGGACCCCTTGTGAAGAGAGCTAGAAGGGGAGTGGGGGTTTGTACTCAGCGACAGAGCGCTTGCCTAGTGAGCACAAGGGATTTCCGTCCTCAGCACCACGAAAAGAAAAAAAAAAATCCTGGAATGGCAGCGAGCACCATCACTTGTAAGGGGTTGACCACATCAGGAGTTCAGGGCCATTCTCCGCTACACAGCGAGTTCTAGGCCAGCCTGGACTACTTGAGATCACTTCTCAAAACAAAACTAGGTGTCAACGACCCGACCTGTCCTTTATCAGTCTCCGCCCTTGACCCCACCCCGTGGATTTGCCTCTGACCACACCCCTTTTCTATAACCCTCCCACCCCCTTAGCCCCGTCTCTTCTTGACCCCGCCGCAGGTCTCGCCCCGCCTCTCTATTCCGACTCCCTAGGCTGTGGCTGGTGGTCTGGCTCTGACTTCCCGGAGTTGTGTAGATAGACTTTCTCCGATTGCGGAGGCGACACACAGACCTGGGTTCCAGATTCTCTAAAGCTTAGGGATCCGTCCCACCCCTCCCCCTGGCTGCAACACTCCGCAGAGTCTTGGGGAGGACGCGGGGACAACTGGGTGGTCTTCAGAAGAGCTTTCTTTTGCTTTGTTTTGTTTGGGTTTTTAAAGACAAGGTCTCAAGAACTGGATATGTAGCTGAGGATGGCCTTGAACTCCTGATCATCCTGTATCCACCTCCCAAATGCTGAGATTATAGGTGCGAGCCACCATGCCCCATTTTATGCCGTTCTGGGGGTAGAACAAAGAGCTTTAAGGATACTAGGCAAGCACTCTACCAACTGAGCCACACCCCCAGCCAGAAGCCCGTTCGAGGCAGCCCTTGACACATGCTACCAACTTCTAAGAAAGGTGCTGTACATCTCTGCTGACAAAGATAAGGTGGTGTTGGGTGGGGGGGGGGCGGTCAGCGGACCTTCCTATCTGGCTTCATTAGCGGGTCCCCACCTCCACCTTGAGTCCCCAAGCCTGGAGTGGCCAGGCAGGAAGTGAAAATGGTCTGCAGGAAATACCAAGGGGAACTGAGACTTCTGCCCTCTGCCCCCACCTGTTAGTCCCTGGGGACCTTGGGGAAACTAGACCCTCCAGAGGAAACCCCAGACAGAAGCAGGCTTGTGGTGTGTGTGTGTGTGTGTGTGTGTGTGTGTGTGTGTGTGTGTGTGGTGGGTGTGAGAGAGAGAGAGAGAGAGAGAGAGAGAGAGAAACTGCTTCCCTCTGTTTCCACTTCATCCAGTATGCTTACCTTGGGCCAAAACTAACGCCAAAGACAAGTCTTTGAGTAGTGATGAAAACAAGAGGTGGGGCCCAGCATCAGTACCTGAGCCAGCCTCTTCCAAGTACCTACTTTGGGAGGTGCCCCCTGCTGGGTAGTCAGACCAGGTAGGACAGGAACTCCCATAAAACTCAGCCCCATCACTGGCTGTGATTTGTGTCTCGGAACCACATAATTGCTGGGTGGTAGTGGCGCACACCTTTAGTCCCAGCACTTTGGAGGCAGAGGCAGGCCGATCTCTGTGAGTTCAAGGTCAGCCTGGTCTACAAAGCCAGTTCCAGGACAGGCTCCAAAGCTACAGAGAAACCAAAAGAATAAATAAATAAATAATTTAAAAAAAGGAACCACATAATCATGCTTATAGATAGGAAATCGTCCCCAACTATCAGGAAAGTGGTGTCACCCACAGAGGTCATCAGAAAGGTCAAGGCCATTGTCACTGCAGTCCTTCTGGAAATAGACCACACAGAGTTTTTTGCAGAAGGAGGTGCTTGCTCTGTGCCTCTGACAGCAGATACTCAGACGGAAAACTTGACAACTGTTGAAAAGCTCAATTGGGAGTGTTTGAAGACAGAAACCTATTGTATGTGACAATTAAGATGGAACTTAAAGGAAAAAGAGTGTGTGTGGGGGTCGGTGCACACTTGTACAGGTCAGGGGGCAACCTGTGGGAATTAGTCCTCTCCCTCCTACCACGTGGGTTCTAGGATCAAACTCAGGCTGTCAGGCTTGACAGAAAGCACCTTTACCCAGTGAGCCATCTTAACCCAGGATGCAATGATTATAGTGGTGAGCAAAGCACTCTGCACACACAGGCCAGTGCTTTGGGCCATGGTCAATGCTCCTCAACCTCCACTTGGTTTATCACAATGAGCTTTTCTGCTCGTGTGCAAAAGGAGTATCTTGACACCCCCCCCAAAAAAAAATACAGGGTTTCTCTATGTAGCCCTGTCTTGGAACTCGCTTTGTAGACCAGGCTGTCTTGGAACATACAGAGACAAAAAAATACAGGGTTTCTCTATGTAGCCCTGGCTGTCTTGGAACTCGCTTTGTAGACCAGGCTGTCTTGGAACATACAGAGATCCACCTGTCTCTGCCTTCCAAATGCCTGGCTTATTTTTAATAATTTTAAAACCAAACATGAGTCCCTTTCCCCTTCCAGGTGTTGTTCTGAAAACAAAGTGCAGAATAGACAGGAAAACTGGACGGGAAAACTCCTCAGAAAGAAACACCTATGGCCACGGCAATGGGAGGATACTGACTTCATTGCCTGGCAGTGTAGCCCTTGTGTCCCCTGCTCCTAGTCCCCCTCCACTTGCTCTTCCTGGCTGGCTTTCCCGAAGAGCTTTTTTCTTGTTTGATCATGATGATGATGGCAGGTTCTCTCCCTATATAGGCCTCACTTTCCTCATCTGTGAAATGGGGATGTGTGAGACTTCTCTCAGCTTCCTTCAACCCTTCTCCTTTAGCAGCCAGAGACCAGGAAGAGAATTTTGTATCCACCCTCCCCCCCATTTTCTTCAAGAGAAACAGGTTGAGGGGAAACAATGTACCAGCAGAGGCTTAGATGGGAATAAGAGGTGCCACAGGTTTTCTTGCCATGGCCCCGCAGGGATTCCACAGTCCTTTTCACCTCCAGCACCTATATCCTAGTTGTAGCTGATACAGTTGGCCAGGGACAGCTCAGACAGCAATAGCTTGACTGACACCTGTCACCTACTGTTTGCCATCTGACCTCATCCTACTCACCTGGCCCCCTGGAGAGAAAGGAATCTTGGAAATGAATGTCCATGTCCTGGAGGCTCTAAATGCTACTGGATACTGTTTTCTAAACTAGAAAGAGAGTTGGCAGGAGGGGCAAGAGCTGCCAGGCAGCCTTGGTGGGCTCAGAGAGACTGGCAGGCAGAGACAAAATACAGTCAAGATCCTACAGAGGGATCCCATTTCTGACTCCCAGGCCAGTGCTCCTTCCAATAGAAGCTAAGTGGTTAACAAGTTCCAACAAGCTATGAGTTCAGCTTCATCATGAGGAGGGCAGGGCAGGAGCCATGATGGCTGCCCATGAGCACAGTGTGCCCGGAATTGGATAGAAAGGACTTGCATCTTCAGAGCCAAGAGCACACTGTCAGGGAACAGCTCCCATGGGGGGTGATGTTGAGCCTGGAGCCAGCATGAGCTTGCCCAAGAAAGCCCAGTTCAAGGGGAGAACAGCCCACAGAGAAGTCCACTTCAGAGTCACTGGCTGCTCAGGCCCCTCTATGATGGAGTGTCCTATAGGTCACTGCCCTGAACACTGCAGAGTGGCCCTGCCCTGGGGACACTGGACCCCAGGTGCTCTCTGGGGGAGAATACTGCCATGATGTTCCTTCAGCTTGAGTTTAGACTTCAGCCTGAGACTACAGACTTCTTCCTCTGGCTCTAGAAACTGCCATTGTGGTGAAGATGGCATCTTCCATCCCAGCAGACTGAGCCAAAGAAATCCACGGTTATTCCTGGGTTATTGACACCCAAGTCAGCACAGCAAAGCCCAAGCATCTCCCTCACTCCCAGGTTATTTCTAAAAATTGACCTTACAGTTGGGTGTAGTTCAGTGTAGACCACTTGTTTAGGTCTGGTCCCCAATGATGTGAAAAATAAAATTACAGAGACTCTTGTAGTAAACACCAAAGTCAAACCATCAGCTCATTGCTGTCACTTGCATCAGCATCAAAGCAGGACAGCGCTGAGAACAAGAATAAAGAAATCCAACACCCGGACACAGAATAAGCATCTTCCCACTAGCCTTTATTCAGGTTGATTTTGGCATAATGGCACTTTTCCCTGCTAAAAGGAAAATCTCTGACTCATAGCGCCTATGTTAGTCTGTTTTTATAGTACTGTAACAAAATGCCTAAGGCTAAGTAACTTTACAAAGAAATAAGATTGATTTAGCTTACAGTTGTGAAGACTCAAGGGCCCACCTCTTGCTGGTAGAGCCAGAGACAGGGAGTATTCATTGTTGCTTATTGCTCTGTCCTGACGACTTTACCTGACTTTCCAAGCATACCACTTCTAAACACCAGAATGAGATTAATTTTCTAAAAATAATAATAGTAAAAGAAAAATCAAAATTTAAAAAGATTTTATTACCACCATTTTGAGACTTGGTCTCACTATATAGCCCTGGCTGTCTTGGAACTCACTCTGTAGACCAAGCTGACCTCTAACTCATAGAGGTCCACCTTCCTCTGCCTCCCCAGTGCTGGGATTCAAGGCGTGCACCACCACATTTTATAATTTGTAAGTGTGTGTGTGTGTGTGTGTGTGTGTGTGTGTGTGTTTGTGCGTGTGAATGAAGATGTCTGAGGAGTCCAGAGGCATGAGGTCCCCTACAGCAAGAGTTAAAGTCAGTAATGAGTCACATGAAGTGCATGCTGGGTATCTGGAAAAGCAGTAAGCGCTCTCTACCACTGAGCCATTTTTTCCAGCCCCTATTTTTAACATTTTTAATTTTGTGTGTGAACGTGTGTGTACATATGTGAGCAAATGAGGGCTGGTACCCTTGGAAGCAAAAGGCTTTGGATCTCCCTGGGACTGGAGTCACAGGAGCTTGTGAGCTGCAGACACAGATGCTGGGAAACTGACCTATTGGAGTTCCTTTGCAAGAACAGTACATGAACTTAACTGCTGAGTCCTTTCTCCAGTCTACCACCCAGATTTTGTGGAAAGAGTTTAAGTGTTCAGTCTCTAACTCTTCAAAACAAATTAACATACAACACTCAAGCTTACCCAACCATTTGTAGGCATAAGAGCTTAAAAATAGTCTCAAAAATGGAAAGTTCTCAAGCCAAAAGCTAACGCAAGAACGAACAGTCTCATGCCGGTGGGAATCTGTAGCCTGTAGTGTCTGTGTTTCCCCTGGGTTCCCTCCAAGCAATGGGCTCCATCCCTGAAGAGCTGAACTTTTCCAAGCAAGCCCTTGGGTGAGAGTTCACAAACCCCGCAGGGCTCCCTGGATTCCCTCCACGGCTGCTGCTATTCCTCAGGGCCGGCTGTCTTGGTGGTCACCAGCTCAGTGGAGCCCAGTTCCGTGGCCGGCACTGGGATGCTGTGGCCCGGCAGGGTGGTATCTACATCTTCTTTGGGGGTAGGCCAGATGGGAGCAGAGGCATGAAGGGTTTCTGATGAGGACACGAAGACATTGTCCAGGGATTCTGGGGTAGGCGAGAGACCAGGTAAGACAGTTCAGGATTGAAACATAGCCTCCCCAAAAAAACGCCTGCTCTAGAAGCCTCCTCAGCAGAGGAAGTGGGACAGCACATGACAAGTCTTCAGGACAGGAAGTGCTGAGTCTGGAGACTTGATAAGATGAGGAGGTGGGGACACTGTATGGCCAGTCCACTGGGCAAAACCTAGGACCAGGCCCCTCGGGCTCTCCAAGGGCAGGGCAAATACTTTCATCTGCAAACATCTCTTCCTAGGCTATGGGGCCTCTCTGCTTGGATTAAGACTTGGGCTGTGCTGTCTTCCCTGTGCACTTGGTAGCCTCAGAGCTGACTCTTCAGGACCTCCTCAGTCCCGGGTCCCAGTTCCGGACCTCCCCTAATCACCAAGAGTTGTGCCCCCACCACCAGCCGCCTATATACTCCCTCAGACACAGTTCTCACCTTCTTGGACTCCGTCTGGGGTGCCAGGGGAGGCCATCCTGCGTTGCTGCCACCACCTCCAGGTCACCAGAGCCACCAGGGCCAGAGCCAGCATCAGTCCCAGGAGCGCGGGGGCGCCGAAGAGCAACCCCGGCAGCGGCAGCGTTGTGTCAGGCCCGGGTCCCGTGCCCACCGACTCTTGTGGTTGCAGAGCCGTCCCGGGGGCATGGCTGCTTGCTGATGGCGAAGGGGATGCAGATGGAGGGCGGGGGACCAAGAGGCAAGGTTGGGAGGAGTAGGGACAGAGAGAGAAGGAACAGAGAGGGCGGTGAAGGCCATGGGGAACCGCTGGCCCCAGGACCAGCCGAGGGGGACGGGATGTAGCTAGCGCTGGCGGGCTGGGGACTTGGGAGCAGATCCTGTCAGTCCGCGTGGTCTTGCTTACCGTGTAGAGGGTCTGGCGTGCGGAGGAGGTTACAGGCTACGCAGTGTCGCACCAGAGGGTCGAAGCACAGTGTCTGAACGCATGGCGTGGTCATCGGGCTGTCCCGACTTCTCCGACTTTTGGCTTCGCGTTTCCTGGCACCCATATCCCACCGCACGCAGGTGGGACAGAGTTCTGAGTCTGCTCTGTGCCCCTCTAGTCTAGAATGAAACCCGGACGCAGCATCCTCCGCCCCGCCCTTGCCTGCTGGGGTGGGACCACTGGGGTGGAGCTGCAACCTAGCCTGGAACCCCAGACCTCTTTCACCTGTGGTTCCTGCATTAAACCACTCAACTGTCACCGCAGACAGACAGCTGAGCATTGTTGGCGCTGGGGGTGGGGGAGTGTCAAACTAGAGCCTGCTCTTGGACAGCAGAGGGGATGGACCCTGTAGTCACTTCTCTCAGTCTCCTGCGGCCTCTGCTGTGCCTCACCAAGGCCAGCTGCACCCAGTCCCCCCTGCTTCCTGCTCTGCCATTCCCAGAGTCAAGACATCACACTCTTGAGTGGCCAATTGGAATGACCACATTGGTGACAGAGGGACACAGATACCCTAAAAAACTCCCCAGTCTTACCACCCTCTAGTCTCTGTATCCTAGTCCTCTGCCCAGCCCTGCTTCCCTGTCCCCCTTGAGAGAAGTGGGGACAGACAGCCAGTCAGCCTGAACTCCCATGGAGAGTGATAGCTACAGGGACTGGCCTGAGGGCCACCAGTACAGTACAGGTCACCACCAAAAATGACAGGAAGACTTGAGAAAATGGCATGGTGTTGATAGAGGGGCAAAGTCTAGGTGCCATGGAGTATGAGTAAAGCCGGGTAGTGCCCGGTGGTGGTGGCACACATCTTTAGTCCCAGCATTAGGGAGCAGAGGCAGAGGCAGGTGGATCTCTGTGAGTTTGAGGCCAGCCTGATCTACAGAGCAAGTTCCAGGACAGGCTCCAAAGCTACACAGAGAAACCCTGTCTCTGTGTAGACCAAAAACAAACAAACAAAGCTTGGTTGCACAAATGGAAAGGCCAAGAAATGCTGGGACTTGGGGGGTGGTGGACAACAGGCTAGAACAATAGAAAGCTTGGACTCTGGCAGCAGGGTGCTGGGGAGCTTGAAGCAAGCAGAGCTGGAGGGGGTGGGGATCTGCAGATTAGCAAAACCTGTCTCCCTGCAGTTCTTTCCCTGGAGCCCTGTGACCCTGCTTGGTCGTGCTTGTGCCTTGCCCAGGCCCCTGCTCTATCAGGCTTTGGGTCCCCAGTGTTAGTTTCCCACTTGCCCCTCATCAGTTTCTCTCAAACCCTGTCAGTCATACAAACAAGCTCTCTGAAGCTTGGGACATATGTAGCCCCCTTCCCAGGAGTCATGGGCTGCAAAGGGCCTGAGGGAGCTCCCAGCTGGGAGCTCAGGCCTGGAGTCCCCTGGTGGGCCTCAGGGTTAGGGGCTGAGGGATATCTTTAGCAGCTTCAAGGGGAAATGGCATGGGAAAGGCCTGCGATGGTGAAGGGCTGTACACATACATGCTGGGGGACAGACATGGCCACTGCTGTGGGGTGCTGGGATAAAGGAGAGCACCATTGCTGAAGATGGACAGGGTCCAGCTGGAGAATGAGGCCTGGCAGTGAGGAGACATGGAGTGTTTGGGTGTGCGTCTCACTGCCTTGACTCACAAGGGCTCTGTGGCTGCATCCAGAGGCTGCAGCCTTTGGAGAGGCAAGGAGGCTGGTGCTCTAGTACAGGGTAGGGGAAGGTGCAGAGCTGAACACGGAGTGAAAGAATCAAAGCGCGTCACTGGAGATCCTGGGGACTCACACAGAACCCTAGTCAGTCAGTCTCTCGGGGTTCTGGCCCATTGCCTTTCCATCCCCTTGCCTATGGGCCAGCAACTTGAAGGCAGGAAGGTGTAGGCGGCAGGGTAGCTGCAAAGGAGAAGTGGGTGTGGGGAGGTGGGTGTGGGTGTGGGTGTATGGGGAGGTGGAGAAAGGGAAGGAGCACCGAGAGGAGCCAGGGCAGGAGCCAGCCCTTCTTATAGTTGAGAGGCATGAAGGTTAAGACCAGAAGTCTTGGCTGCAACCCTCTGCTCACACCCCCTCTGTCACTACTGAGTTGCTGTTACTCAATCATTGTTAGGGCTATGGAGCCCAGCCTATGCACCAGGCATCTTAACTGTTGTGTCCGATACTGACACTGAAGAAGAGCCTGGGGTTCATGGAAACCCAGGGCCAGCAATCTAGTCCTGGGAGAGGGAAGCCCAGCAGGGCCCAGGTTGGGAAAATTCCCAAGGGCCACACAAAGGAAGCTGCCCTGCAAGGAGATGCTACTTCACAACAGGATGAGGATTACTAGTTACTCAGGCTCCTGCAGCAGACAGGCCATCTCCGGGTATGAAGCAAGAGGGCTGTAATTCAGTCACAATGAAAGAATCCTTCACTTCAGCCAGAGAGGGACGTTTGAGGTCTGGGAGGACAGAAGCAAAATTACTCACATGACACAAATGTTTATTGGGCATTTCCTATGGGCCCCATCGAGCCCATAGACTAAGGAGCTAGACTAAGCCGGCGACAGCAAAGGCTTGTGGGATTCACGTCTGACATGTACAGGTGCTCAACCTCAGCCAAGTATTTTCACTTGTGTCTCTATGGGGGTGGGGTGGAGGCTGTGACAGTCCTTGAATCTCTGCTTGGATGATTACATGGTTAAGAGGAGAGACTTGGGACTAATGATGTAACTCAGCTGTGTAATGTTTGCCTAGCATGCACAAAGCAGCTCTGGGTTCCATCCGGATGGTGTGGTATAAATTTGGCATAATGGAATACACTTGTAATATCAGCTAGCACTAGGGAGGCAGAGGCAGAAGAGGCCCAGGAGCTCAAGGCTATCCTTGGGCTACATAGTAGGTTTGAGGAGTCCATCCTGGGCTATGAGACCCATCAAGTGATAACAAGACCAAGAGGGAAAGGCAGAGGGAATGAGGTGGTACTCACCAATGTAGGCAATGTTAGGCTATACGTCAATGTATTGTTTTTCATAGCTGTTAAATCAAGTTTGTTTGTTTATTTATTTATTTATTTTTGAGAGTTTCTGTGTACTAGCCCTGGCTGTGCTGGAACTTGCTCTGTAGACCAGGCTGTCCCTGAACTCAGAGATCTGCCCGACTCTGCCTCCCAAGTGATGAGATTAAAGTCCTGAGTCACCACTGCTGGGCTAGTTTTGCTTTTGTTGTTGCTGTTGTTTTTTGAGAAAGAGTTTCTCTTTGTAGCCTTGGCTGTCCTGAAACTGTGTTGACCAGGCAGGCCTTGAACTCAGAAATCTGCCTGCCTCTGCCTCTGGAGTAATACTGTGTGTGTGTGTGTGTGTGTGTGTGTGTGTGTGTGTGTCTGTCTGTCTGTCTGTCTAAGTGTATGTTTGTCCACCATGTGTGTGCAAGAACCTTCAGAGGCCAGAAAAGGGCTTAAGATTCCTGGGAACTGGAGTTGCAGGCAGATGTGAGCCATCATGTGGACACTGGGGACTGAACCCAGGTCCTCTACCTCTAGAGCAATCAGTGCTCTTAACCACTGAGCCATCTCTCCAACCCCAAGTTCATCCTTCCACATAACATTTCTAGCTTACTGAGGAAGAAGCAGTGGAGAGCCACAAAGGGCATAGTCTAGAGGAGGTGGGCTTCTGTGTCTCCCCGGGGCTAGCATATCCTCCAGTGCCACCTTCTCAAGCCAGAAGTTCTTCTGCGTCACTTTTGACTATGAGACTACCAAGAAATTAGTTCCAATTCACTGTAGTGCTTGCACATTTTCCTTCTAACAGATTTTTGCTTTTTAATTTGTTTTTATGGATTTTGTTATTTATAAATCTCTTTATGACAGACAGGATACTGCCATGTTGCCTAGGCTGACCTCAAACTTCAAAGATCAAGCAAGTTTCTTGCCTCTGCCTCTTGAGTAGCTGGGCCTAAACACACATTCCACCAGCCCTGTCCCACGCTATGTTCTCGCCGGCAAGAATCACACAGGACACTCGGATCCTTCTGCAGGAAAGCTTTAATGCATCTTGAGAGAGGAGAGCATAAGCTTACCAGAGCGGAGACCCCGAGCCAAGAATCCTGTCCCCTAATAAAGGCTGGCAGCCCCGCCTGGGACGTGTCACCCTATGAATGGCTTCAGCTCCTCAGGCCATATGAGCCACGGGATAGGCAGAGATCAAAGAAATGGAAATTACCCAGCGCCTGCGAAATAATTTACATTCAGTGCCTGCAGGCACCATCATTGTAATGGAGAATGCAGGGATGGCTCCCTACACAGCCCAACCTACCAGCCCTTAAAAAAAAAAAAAAAAACAACAATTTTCACTTTGAACAATTTGCTATGACTTCAATGCATTCTTTTCTTTCTTTCTCCTCAGTGCTGAGGATTTCACCTATAATGCCAGCACTTGGGGTGGGATGGAGCAGCAGGATTAGGAGTTCAAGGCAAGACTGGTCTACACAAGACTCTTGCTTAAAAAACAACCAAATTTTTATTTTATTATTTGTGTGTATGATGTATGCCTTAGGGTTTCTACTGCTCTAAAGAGACACTATGACCACAGCAACTCTTATAAAGGAAAACATTTAATTGGGGTGGCTTACAGTTTCAGAGGTTTAGTTTATTGTTATCATGGCGGGAAGCAAGGCAGTGTGCAGGCAGACATGGTGCTGGAGAAGGAGCTGAGAGTAGAGAAGCTTCATCTTAATACCACAGGCAACAGGAAGTTGTCAGAGCGTGGCTTGAGCATATGAGACCTCAAAGTCCACCCCCAGTGACACACTTCCTCCAACAAGGCCACACCTCCTGGGCCCATTTTCTTTCAAACCACCACAATGTGTGTGAGTGGAGTCATACATGTGCTACAGTGCGCATGATGCCAAGGGCAACTCTCAGGAGCTCTGGGAGGCACATTCAGGTGTCAGGCTCAGCAAGCAAGTGCCTCTTGCCAGCCTGGACACACACACACAGACACAGACACAGACACAGACAGACACAGACACAGACACAGACA